TCTAACACTGTGGCATGTCCCCTTTCTTCTACATTCACTACAGACCTCTTTTCTCTGTCTCAGACTATATACCAGGAACTTCTGCCTGCTAGTAAGAATGGAGTGAGCGCATCATTAGACGCATTTATGTCAAGCTCAAGGTGCTGCCTGCATAGTATGCCCTTAGTTGGACAGCCTGCAGGATTGGCAGGCAGCCTGACATGCATTCATGCCAGGCTGACCTTCCAATTCTTTGGACAAACGTTCCCCTTTTTGGGCATGTTCACCCCTTTTGGCAGGTCTTGTCACGTGATTCGTGTCAGTGGCCCATCCTTTTACCATGCCCATTGACTTCCTGCTTCACTGGACATTGCTGTTAGGGGTTATGGATTTACTTGAAAGATGAAAGCATAAATTAGAGAGGGATTAGCATAGGGTATGTGTTTTCTTATAGCTGCATCCTATGAGTTTCCCTCCAGCACCATCTCCATCAGATACATGAAGCTTTGGAGGTATGATTGTTTTAGTGTTTTTGGTCGATAAGATTCCTTAATTAGGCCCATCATAATTGTCAGCACCAGGCCCACTGTGCTCTTAATCCGGCCCTGCTGGCAGCACATAAAAGAGGGATGGAATGGAGAAGAGGCTGATTTTTGGGGGTTTAGGGCACATACAAAACTTTGTTTCCAGTGATGGACAAGAGATCTGTCCGACCATGTGGGCCGCATCTCCTGTCCAAAAAAAGATAACTAATAGCTAGGGGACAGCCATTAAATGTTAATTGTATTCACAGATCAAGTCGCCATAGTTCCATAGTTATATAGTTACATAGTTACATATCTGAGAAGAAACATGCGTAAATGAAGTTCAGTCTTTCTCCCATCAAAAGAAGGCAAAAAAAAAAGCAGTGTAAAGGGGTCCTCTTTCGCAATCCATTATCAGCAGTAGTGTCATGGCTTCTGACAGGGCTTTTCATTAAAGGGAGAATTGTCAGAAATTCAAAGTGAATTTCAAATTTAAGGCCAAAGTAGCTGAATAGGAAACATGGCTGACTTTGAGAATTTTTCGAATTCAGTTGTTTGACCTTAAATGTGAAATTCTTTTTCATTTCACTTAGCATTGCTGACAATTCTCGCAATGCCACCACTGTTACCACCACCAATATTAGTAGCAGTGAGCCTCAGGGGATTAGCAGTACACCCATTACCCCTGGTTCAACGATGAGGAGAACAGTTTTTTTTTCTTATCCTTTTCATTCTGCAACTTGTGCAACCGTTTCCATCTGTACTGTAGCTCTTTCTATCAGAGCTAGTTCAAGCTTTTACTTTTTTTGTGCTCCACAAGGAGGGAGAGCGTAGCATTGTCTACTTTGTGGTGTTCATCAGAGCCACTCTTTTGTGAGGACTTACAGCAGAGTACTAAAGTTTTGTTGCCAATGTCTGGCGTTGGTGGCTGTGAAGAAATTCGGTGACACAAGCACTTTTACCTCTGGCCAAGGAGTTACTTGACTCTGAATATGATGAGCCAGAGGAATCACAAGATTAAAGTGTGGAAAGGACAGACAGCACCCAACATTTATTTCTGCAGCTAGTGTTCACTTGCCTCCTGCATCATGTCCACCATCTCTAAGTCCATCTGTATATACTGCAGAAATGTTTCAACCAACAGAGTCAGTTGTGATATCAGCTGCACCTTCTACCACTGGCACAAGTAGCTCACGCACTGTCAATGATACCATCACCAGCACTGCCACTACCACCACCACCTATACCACTATTATCCCCAGCATTGTCCATTAGCATTTATCATTACTGTACAGGCTAGTTTTGCATCAGCTTCCACTGCCACTGATGCAAATCCCCCTGAACCTTCAGAAGATGCCACGCAAAGGAAATTGGGTACTGTATTGCACCAACAAAGCAAAGTTTGGATCACTTTGAGTGCCTACTACAAGGCTGACTTGCAAAGTGCAAATTGTTCTGCAAGAAAGTGAGTAGGCGTGGGTGAAGGCCCATCTCACTAGTGCCAGTACGAAGCAACATATGCAAAGATAGCACAAGTCTGAGAGAAGAATCAGAACAAAAAGGTACTAGGGCAGGCATCAAGTCCACTGGTGCTGTATCTGATTATGTGCAGTTGTCACAACCTACCACCAGCGCTATCTTCTCCAGTACTACTACCGCCACACTTAGGCAGAGCAACGAGGATGGTGAAAATAGTGCCAGTAGTTGACAGAGGCAGGTTGGACAGGAACAGATACTCTTCATCTTCCAATGAATTGCAAAAGATAAAACAGAAACGAAATAAATATAAAAAGTTTCTCAAGTCTAACCTTTACTGCCAGTGTTACATAGACACACTTTGATTCACTGATTTAGAATTGTTCTCCTGATTTAAGATTTTTTTTTTTTTAATAAGTGTTGGATTATTTACTTTGCAGTTTGCTTCTGTGCCACTGCTTGTGCTTTGAAACTTGCAAGCTTCTTCTTTGTAATAAACTCAGTATGTGGCTGCAGTTTACTGGACGTGTAAACCCTGCCCATATTGTGGACAGGTCTTATTTTTAGCTCTTTGTAGAAAAAATAAGTATTCTAAAATGTGATGGTGATGCTGATGATCCTCCCCAGTCACCTTAAAAAAAAAATCTATATTAAAAATTACAATTAAATTATTCCTGCGGCTATTGCTGCTGCTCCAATTTTTCTTAAATACCTTTCATTGTGGTTTTGCCATATCTGAGACTTGTGGTGATTGCTACCTCCGCAGACAGGGAATCTGAAAGGTCACTGCTTTTTCTCCACGCTGAAGGATTGCCGCTTCTTTCTCTAAGGAAAAAAAGTAATTGGGGATGGGCAGTTCACAACCCTATCACCCTTTCGCCTTGAGAAGAACAAAGCTTTCCTGAACATCCAATCTGTAGCATGATTGACCGTCTTTCAGTGGGGAACAAAATAGTGTCCTATATTAACATAGAAACATAGAATGTGACAGCAGATAAGAACCATTCGGCCCATCCAGTCTGCCCAATTTTCTAAATATTTTTATTAGTCCCTGGCCTTATCTTCTATAGTGAGCTTCTACCGAATGTATCTGTGGAGGTAGCTGGCATTGCAAGACTCAAACAGGGCATATCCACTACAATAAAAGGCATTTTAAGAAAATGAGGAGCGATCGTTCACAATGCTATGAAATCATTTGTAAAAGTCTGATCTCTGTAGGAGAAGCTGGGGCTGTAGGGTGGTGCTGGGGTCTTGGCTTGTTGATCTGGGGAAGAGTCCATGTTGTCTGTCCGACCTAACCTATGCTACTCTCATACTTAAAGACACAAATGATACAACTATTATTACCAGAAGTAGTGTCATATCGGTTCTTACATATTCTTATTTATTTTCTTTTGTTTTGTTCTCTCCGTATACTCTTGACACTATACTGCGGTAATTGGTGCCATCAAGGTGGACGGCTAAAAAAATGGCATAGCATGGAATCCTTTGATTTCTGTTGACTGATTCCAAACAGCTCTGTTCACAGCAGTGTTTTGTTTTTTTAACTGTAATGTGTTTTATATTTTATATTTCCTTATTTCTTTGTTGTTGTAGTTTTTCTCTGTGTTTCTGTGTCAAAATATGAAATACAAGAAATACAAGTAAGATACAGTGCTGGAGTAAAGGAATTAAGTGTTGCTACTATCACCAGTGTTATGTCACCCAACAACACTAATAAGTAGCCAAGAAAATAAAGTAAATAACACTTAAAACAGTAAAATACTACCACTGCATGATCTTGAACAGTAAATTTAAACCGCTAGGTGTCTGTAATAAATCATACAGTACAGATCATAGCGCAGTATGTATTCAAATTTACAGGCCAATTGGTTGAACTCACATGATGCTGAGCCTTCTAATAGCAGGCTCCGATTTTCAGGGCTCTTCAGTAAATGAAACCTTCAGATTACTGCTCCCAGGTTCTGCTTTCCTTCAAGAATGTAACTTCCAAACTTGGATAAGTGCAAAAAAAATTATTTGGTATAACCTGCAGGAGGTATAAAAACAAACAAAAAGTATACTTATTAGTAAATCAATATACTAACAGCACGACGCGTTTCAACCGTTCAATCAGTCTTTTTCAAGTGCATCCTTTCGGCTTGTTCCAATCTTCGTTTTATATCCGGATTGTGTCCTTTTCCCGCTTGTATTCAATCGTACTTCCGGGTTCAAAGGGTCCTATGACGTAATTTCCGTAGTTCGTAATATGACGCTCGGCAAGATGCCATTACGTCTGACGTCACACCGTGATGACGATTTTGAGTCCATGAGGATGTGGGTTCCATCTCAAATATTGGAAAGAGATGAAACCTTGCATTAAGTACAAAGTCAGTATCATTTAAGGGGAAATGAGTCCATAAATGCTGGTAAAAGAAGTAGTATATGCATTATATAAACAGGAATAATACAAACATAGTTTGACTGCCCACTGATTTTTTTCCTTTAATTTTTGAATAAAGAAAGAAAAAAGAAAATTTTTACCATCAATCACTCTGAGACTCTAAAGTTCTCTCAATTCCTTTTCTTAAAATCCAGACATATATTAATAATCAAATTTTGGCATTGCAAAATGACTAATATTGCGTAGCTAGGCAATATTGTAGCTGTTTTGGTATGTCAGCACAGTCATAGGCAGCATTTGTTTTACTGTTCCGGCTCTCCAAATGGCCTTCCTGAATATTTTTCATTACCAAAATTTGGCCAAGCACAAGAGCGGCATGAACTAAATTCAATCGATCCAAAATATTTCATTTTTTTTTTTTGTTTTGGAAGAACCAACATTTTTCATAATGAACAATCAGATAACAAACTACTGCAAAATTAATTCACAAAAACAAGCAAAACACAAACCACTTTTGTAGTAATCAGTCCAAAGTAGCCAATATACTACTCACAACTAGAGATGTCGTGAACCGTCCGAGAACTTCTCGCGAATGGTTCACCACGGTTCGCTGCGAACCATTCGTGGCGAACTCCGGTCAGCTGACACATCCCGGCCAATCTACAGCAGACCCTCCCTCCCAGACCCTCCTACTTCCTGGACAGCATCCATGTTGAAGGCAGCTTCAACATGGATGCTGTCCAGGAGGTGGGAGGGTCTGGGAGGGAGGGTCTGCCGGAGATTGGCAGGGATGTGTCAGCTGACCGGAGTTTGCCACGAACGGTTCGTGGCGAACCGCGGCGAACCGTTCGCGAGAAGTTCTCGGACGGTTCGCGACATCTCTACTCACAACCTGCATATGTAAATGTAGCAATTAAACTCTGCAAGGCCCATAGATGTAGGAACTGCATTTAGCAGCTATTTCAATGCTCAATGTGCCACAGCCATCTGACCAAAATTGCAATGAAAGAAAATGAAAGTGAATGAACTGGTCAGACTAAAGCTTAACCCATCAGTAAATACTCATCAATTGCATCACTAATTAATGAATCTACCTAATCTGGAGTATTCTGGAAGAGATCAAGCGTGTTATTGAGCCACAAAGAAGGCAATGATAATTGACTTTGAACTTAAAGGCTGATATTTTTAAAATAGTCTACAGCAATTGTGAGAATGTAATCAAATCAATCAATCAATTGTCTTGCTATCTAAAACCACTTCAATCAGGGTTTCAATAGTTATTCTCCTGTAATAATTGTCAGACTGAATGAAGGAAGCATAAACATTAGATCTCCCATTACCAGAAGTGTTTAGGAAGGCTGTACATTTTACAAGCAGGGAGGTGTAACTAAGGCTGCATAAATAAAGTGATTTACTCCTAAATTGTAGAGAGTTGAGCAGTGAGACTGCACGTGCATGATCTATGCAGAAAAACTAATTAGTAAGCTAAAGTTGTTTTGGTAGCTATAACTCCCTTTCACGTCACCAAAAAGATAATCTAACTAATTGTATCTTTAACCAAAAAAGTGCATACCACTATTGTTTAGCTGTATTGTTTATATATCTATCCCTTGCTAAATGTGCTACTTCACATGTTACATAATCTCCAGAAGGTGCTTAAATTTCAATACATGTATCTCAACGTACCACAATGTATTCTTCTTGTTAAACAATCACTTTAGAAATAAAGAAATAACACATAATACGTGCATTCACAGACAAGCAACTGTTCTACTAACTATACGTGAATCAAAGCATTTTCAGCTACACAGGAAAAAACAGCACACCCACTCAATTTCTGTTTATATAATATCATATAAAACAATGGAGGTGGGGGAACTGTAATGTGCTATCTACTCATTAATCAGAGGTGTCAAATTGGCAGTCTGTAGGCTAGAGGTTGCCCACAGCCAAGCTAGAACATCCAGAGGCTTTATATATGTAACACTATATATTTTATTTATTAGTATCCAGTTCCCTATCCTCTACCCTCTACACCCATATCATTTATTTTGCATGGTCTAACACGCACCTCATGAAACTGTAATATAAATAAATACTGGCTATAAGTCAATGGGAATTCATCCACTGAATTCCAAACTGTAGGAAAATGAATGTTGAATTGTAGAACTGTAAAATTGTCAAGCTGCGAACTTACCTGAGATATTTTTAAGAAATCTGCACTTTTTGCTAAATTTCGAATTCTGTTTAAAATTGATTGCAATTTGGTGTTTAGTAAATACATCTCAATTAATTGCAAGAATGCTAAAAACAACTTATGATTAGGGTTTTGTTTTCAATTTCTTTTCTTTCTTTTTTTAAGGAATTGTATTTTTATTAAATTTTTTTGCTGATAAGTTCAGCTTGGATATATTATTGCGCTCTCATTTTCTTAATTGTAATATATATAAACACATTATCTATTTTGGTTTGCAATAGTATATATGAATTATTTTATATGAATTATGGCTATTGTGCCAGGTGTCCCCTGGCCTTATCTGAAAGTAAACTCGCAAATCATTAATAAATGGTTTGCCTGTTACCTTGCTGCATGAGATCTGTGTTTCTATGCTAAAGCAGTGCTCACACTATCGCATTATCATACCAACCCGTACCAAGTTCATTGGCTGAGAGCTTTATGCATAACAATTCATGGCCGATATCATTTTTAACAAGGAAATAGTCACTTCTAGGCTTTCTATAGCTTTTAGTTGCAGTAATTCCTAACCCAGTTCTAATGGTAAGCCAACAGTTCAGGATTCAATATTTTACAATTTAGTTCCAATACGGATGCTAGGAAAATCTGGACCAATGGTGTGTATGCCAGGTGCCCTCGTATTTCACCTCTGGATGTTACTCATGCCTGCCTCCATTGATACCGACCACCAGTTAGAATTTCAGTAAATATACCCTGTTGCAGCCATTAATTACATGTCACTAACAATTATATCATGTAGCATTAAAAGATTACGGAGTCATTAATTTTAAAAACTATCATAAATATTACTGGCGTGTTGATAATTGGTTGCAGCAAGCACAGAAGCAAGCCTGGATTTGGTTGCAAAAAATATAAATGATCAATTCCAAGGGGGTACTTGAAACCCTAACTCTGTAATACACAACATAATTTCTGGAAAGAACAGGAGTAATCTAACGAACCAGAGAACCAGTGCTTAAAGTGACCTTACAGTGCAAATTGTGTATATATATATATATATACTGAACAAAATTATCAATGCAACACTTTTGTTTGTGCCCCCATTTTTCATGAGCTGAACTCAGAGATATAAGACTTTTTCTATGTACATAAAAGGCCTATTTCTCTCAAATATTGTTCACAAATCTGTCTAAATCTGTGTTAGTGAGCACTTTTCCTTTGCCGAGATAATCCACCCACCTCACAGGTGTGGCATATCAAGATGCTGATTAGACAGCATGATTATTGCACAGGTGTGCCTTAGGCTGGCCACAATAAAAGGCCACTCTAAAATGTGCAGTTTTAATGTATTGGTGAGGGGTACGGGGGGTCCAAAAACCAGTCAGTATCTGGTGTGACCACTGTTTGCCTCACACAGTGCAACACATCTTCTTCGCATAGAGTTGATCAGGTTGTTGATTGTGGCCTGTGGAATGTTGGCCCACTCCTCTTCAATGGCTGTGCAAAGTTGCTGGATATTGACAGGACCTGGAACACGCTGTCATATACGCTGATCCAGAGCATCCCAAATATGCTCAATAGGTCAAATTTCCAATGAGTATGCTGTCCATGCAAGAACTGGGATGTTTTAAGCTTCCAGGAATTGTGTACAGATCCTTGAAACATGGGGCTGTGCATTATTATGCTGCAAATGAGGTGATGGTCGTGGATGAATGGCACAAAATGGGCCTCAGGATCTCGTCACGGCATCTCTGTGCATTCAAAACGCCATCAATAAAATGCACCTGTGTTCGTTGTCCATAACATACGCCTACCCATAGCATAACCCCACCGCCACCATGGGCCACTCGAGCCACAAAGTTGACATCAGCAAACCGCTCACCCATACAACGCCATAAACACTGTCTGCGATAACCAGGATTCAACCATGAAGAGAACATCTCTCCAAAGTGCCAGAGTGAGCATTTGCCCACTCAAGTTGGTTACCTGCAGTCAAGTCGAGACCTTGATGAGGACGACAAGCATGCAGATGAGCTTCCCTGAGGCCCTTTCTGACAGTTTGTGCAGAAATTCTTTGGTAATGCAAACCAATTGTTGCAGCAGCTTTCCGGGTGGCTGGTCTCAGATGATCTTGGAGGTGAAGATGATCTGAGAGGGGAGGTCCTGGGCTGATGTGGTTACACGTGGTCTCCAGTTGTGAGGCCGGTTGGATGTACTGCCAAATTCTCTGAAACACCTTGAGAGATGGATTATGGTAGAGAAATGAACATTCAATTCACGGTCAACAGCTCTGGTGAACATTTCTGCAGTCAGCATGCCAATTGCAAGCTCCCTCAAAACTTGCAACATCTGTGGCATTGTGCTGTGTGATAAAACTGCACATTTTAGAGTCACCTTTTAATGTGGCCAGCCTAAGGCACACCTTTGCAATAATCATGTTGTCTAATCAGCATCTTGATATGCCACAGCTGTGAGGTGAATGAATTATCTCAGCAAAGGAGAAGTGCTTACTAACATAGATTTAGACAGATTTGTGAACAATATTTGAGAGAAACAGGCCTTTTGTGTACATAGTTCAGCTCATGAAAAATGGGGGCAAAAACAAAAGTGTTGCGTTTATAATTTTGTTCAGTATATATACAGTTAAAAGAAATCAAAAAGTAGCAATTCCAGTTTCCAAAAACCTTAAAATAAGGAATAATATATACAAATCATAGTGCAATATGCCAAATCTGTAGTGGAATACTTTTAAAATGTATAGGTGTTCAACTCACACTTTGCAGAGCTGCTAAGAGCTCTGCTGTACATTGCTTGGACAGTACAAAACTCGACTTATTATATATGAAGATCCACTCAGATGTGTCTCCAGTAAAACTTTAACATAAGAAATGTAATGTCTACTTCACTAGGTGTATGCCTACCGATTAGACTTGTAGATATCCAATTTCCAACCCTCAACGTGCCTGAATCTAAGGGTAACCAACTCGAGTAAACATGCACATGCTTATCGTGGTTCTTGAATTGGAGTGAGGTTCCTGGCACCAGCAAAAAAAAGAGGGATGGAATGGAGTAAGGGCTATTGATTTTTTTCTGTTTAATTATCATGTAGCATTAAAAAAAAATGATCGCTTGTTAGAGGCCAGCCATTAATTGTAATTTTTTTTCACAGATCAAGTGACAACACACTAATACAGGAAGAAAAAGGAAGAATAGTAAAACAAATTATACCTCCAAGCAGGATTCTTCTAGACACATTGACTGCAGCTAATGAGGGAGATAGACCAGCAGTGATACTTTGTGTTTTACCTTTGGTGTGCCTGTGTCTGAGTGGGAAATAGCCCGGGTCATTGATTCCGGTACTAGGTTTAGGTTGCTTCTGTATCTAAATACAAAAAGAAAAGTCCTGCGCTCACTCCCATCACTCGTGGGTGGCAGCAACGACCACAGTACACATCAGCTCCAATACATATAGTGAAAACCAAAGAAATAAAAGTTACCTGCGCTTTCTCCTTAATCCCTATGTATATTTAAACAAGTGAAGGTCATTTAGTTACTCCAATGGCTACTGCTTCTGTATCTAGATAGCTAGCTAGTACCAGGCATACTTG